CCCGGCCCGCGCCGCCGCCGCCGCCGCCGCCGCCGCCGCCGCCCGCGGGACACGCCCCCTCCGCCGCCCGCGCGCGCCCGCGGGACACGCCCACTCGCCCGCCCGCGCGCGTGGCCGCCTGGCGCGCCCCGCCCCTCGGCGAAGGGGGTTGCTCCGGGCCCGGGGTGGGCTGGGGGCGAGCCGAGGGGGAGCCGCGCCTAATCCGCCTGGCCCCTCGCTCTTGCCCTTGGGTCAGAAGAGGGGCGAGCCCCGCTCCCTTTCTGGATTTCTTTTATAAACAAACAACAGAAAAGTTACCCCCCAGCCCTGGCGCGCATGCATGAGAATAGAGCTGTTAAAAGAGAAATCTGCAGGCTTTGACCGTTCTCTTTAGAACTCTCACAGCCTTTGAAGTCTAAAAAGCCCGAAAATACCCTTCAGAATTTCTTCAGGTCTCCACCCATAGCCACCTTTAACTAATTAAGCTTCGTTTTAAGCTTCTACGGTAGACATTCATTGAAAATTTTAAACATTCAGGGAGGAAAATGCAATCAGTTCGTGAGTTGTAAGAAGAAAATGTTTCGGGAAGATCATGGACTCAAAACAGTGAGAAGGAGGACAAGTCCCTAGACGTGGCAGGTAGCAGGTCATAGCTGAGCCTTCCAAGCACGATTTCAGTGGAGCAATTACCCTCAGATTACGGAGGGTAAAGAGGGTGGTGAGGCTGCCTAGTGACGTGTGGGAGAGTAACGTGGCTTCCAGGTTTATGAAGCGGGGTAACCATGCATAATACCTAGCACATAGTAATATACTAAAAAAAGAGAAAGTAATTTCATGCTCCTTTTCCCTTCTGTGAACCTGAAATGCCTCCTTAGTCTGCCTTCAATATCTTAAATCACCTTAAATCATTCTGTCCTCAGAAATGCAATGGCTCCCAGGCTCCCTTAAGCTCCTTGGCGTGGCGTTCATGGCCGCGCCTAACCTGATCTAGCTAAGTGGGACTATCCTGGTGTGGTAGAGGTAGCAGCGAGTGCGATTGAGGTTTGGAGTAGCGAGAAGGTTCCTAAGAGGACCTTCTCACAGTGAGAGGAAGACCTTCTCACAGTAGGTGATTATCTACTCTGGCCTTGGAGTATTAGGAGAATTTCAACAGGTGGAAAATAGAGGAAGGAACATTCTGCACAGTGAAAACAGCAAGCTCAAAAACCCATCTATTGAGACTTCCCTAGCTCCTCCTCCAGCTGCCCCAGCTCCTTTTCTTTCAAGTTCCTTCACTTGTTACTCTTATGACAGAGCTTCCAGACTCCTTACTTCCTTGGTCTACTCCACAGTAGGACCCTTGTTTCCCTATATCTGGACAATATATATATATATTTTTAAGATTTTTCCTTTTTCTCCCCAAAGCCCCCCGGTACATAGTTGTGTATTTTTAGTTGTGGGCCCTTCTAGTTGCGGCATGTGGGACGCTGCCTCAGCACGACCTGATGAGCGGTGCCATGTACGTGCCCAGGATCCAAACCAGCGAAAGCCTGGGCCGCTGAAGCAGAGCACGGGTACTTAACCACTCCACCACCGGCTGGCCTCTGGACAATATATTATTAATTAATGCAGCATCACATGCAAGATGGACTGAAGGCCCTAAAGTGCTTAACCACCAAAAAGGTTTTGATTACTTACTATCAAATGCAAGCCCTCTCCATGAATCAAACTTCAAAAATATTCATTTTAATTGAATGAAAGAGAGAAAAAAGAAAGAAATGTAGAAAAGAAGGACAAAAGAAAGAAAGGAGAGAGAGAAAGGAGGGAAAGGAGGGAGGAAAAGAGAAAGAAAGTAAAGAAAGAAAGAACTTTTTTAGGCCTGGTACAAACTTTTCTACATTGATTCTTTTTTTTTTTTTTTTTTTTTGAGGAAGGTTAGCCCTGAGCTAACTGCTGCCACCAATCCTCCTCTTTTTGCTGAGGAAGACTTGCCCTGAGCTAACATCCGTGCCCATCTTCCTCTACTTTATATGTAGGACACCTGCCACAGCATCGCTTGCTGAGCAATGCCATGTTGGTGCCTGGGCTCCAAATTGGCGGACCCCAGGCTGCCAAAGCGGAACATGCGCACTTAACTGACGTGCCGTTGAGTTGGCCCCTCTCTTTTTGTTTTTTTAAGTTTTATTTATTTTTTTATTGCGGTAACACTGGTTTATAACATTATATAAATTTCAGGTGTACATCATTATATTTCGATTTCTGTGTAGACTGCGTCATGTTCACCACCCAAACACTAACTACCATCCATCACCACACACATGTACCCCTATCACCCCTTTAACCCTCCCTTCTCTTCTCTTCCCCTCTGGTAACCACCAATCTGATCTCTATGTCTATGTGTTTGTTTGTTGTTGTTTATACTCTTTTTAAAAATTTCTTTCTTTTCTTTTTTCAGCTAAAATCTGATTTGAGGTTATGGTTTTTTCAGATGTTGTAGTCCAGGGAACAATTCTGGCCTCTATCAAAGCTATCAAAGACATAAACTGTTTTCTTTCCCTTTTTCAGGTCCAAAAAGGAAAACTGAAACATCTCCCTTTAAACTTACTAGACAAATGTCCTTCATTTCCTCAGTCTGACTGCTTACTGGAAATGTTTTATTAATTGCAAATTTATTCCCACATATTGTGATGCAAATAGAATAATGGCAAATGGGCAGCTGCATTCATTTAAAATTAGCAGAGGCTCTTGTTCAAGGGATGGCATATTCAGAGTGACCCAAATTATCATGACATGAAGGCCACAGGTCAAATTCAAGGCCAAGTTACAAATCAATAGAAAATTTCCTTGAGGGAGGCTGGTGCTATGAACTTGAATTCTTAGTTGTTTTTCAAGAAGCTGTATTTTACTTTACTTTTCTCATCCAAAATTTAAAATCTCCTGCAAGATAAAGACTTTGAAATGTGAATGAGTTCTGGTTTTCTTATTTTGAGAATCTGGATTCTTTCCTACATATTTAATTCATCAATTTTTTTATTTTAATTAACATATGTTCTTAATAGTATTTTTCTCTAGAGATTTATTTCAAAAGTTTGGTAAAATATTGTTTTTGAGCTTCCATATGCTTTTTATTCCTAACATGTTTCATTTTTTTCCTTAGAAAAAAAGAGCTTCATTTGACTGAACCCACATTAATGTTACATTGAAGTTCAATAATCTGCTTTAAATGTTACATCTTACTCAAGTTTTGTGTTAATTAAAAATTAGGGTACAGGAGGGGCTGGCCCCGTGGCCAAGCAGTTAAGTTGGCGCGCTCCACTGCAGGCGGCCCAGTGTTTCGTTGGTTCGAATCCTGGGCGCAGACATGGCACTGCTCATCAGGACACACTGAGGCAGCGTCCCACATGCCACAATTAGAAGGAGCCACATGAAGAATATACAAGTATGTACTGGGGGGCTTTTGTACTGGGAGGCTTTGGGGAGAAAAACGAAAAAAAATAAAATCTTAAAAAAAAAAATTAGGGTACGGGGCCGGCCCCATGGCCGAGTGAAGTTTGCACACTCTGCTTCAGGAGCCCAGGGTTTCACCAGATCGGATCCAGGGCTCAGACATGTCGCAGCTTGTCAGGCCATGCTGAGGCGGCCTCCCACAAGCCACAACTGAAAGGACCCACAACTA